ATGTATGTATGTATGTATGTATGTATGTATGTATGTATGTATGTATGTATGTATGTATGTATGTATTTGTATGCATGAATTTATCTTCGTAATACATAATTTAAGGCTCAAACTCTGCATACATACATTTCGGACGCCGGCGGGTAACATAGGCTATTTTGTACAGTAGTCATTCGTCTGATTGCGTTGATTTGCGAATTTATGGCCAAATCGCGTCATTTTAGAAAAGGATATAATTCAGCCGTTTCAGATTACTTAAGCAAGATCATTCAAACAAATGTAGTTCCTGTCTGGGAGTACGTCAATGCGCAGTGGTTGCCTATTGAATTAATGTAAGAGACGGACTGAAAATGGTGTTAGGCAAAATAGCCAAGTTATGCTGTCTTTTCTTGGCAATTAGTTCAACAAATGGAAAAGTCTAAACACAGAGCGGGTTCATATATTGCTAGCAAGTCTTAGGTCGCACTATCATCGCGCTTATACGTTTTCAAAATTGGACGCCATTTATCACATTACGCTGAATACTGATTACTCGCAAGACAGCTGCTCTTTTTTGCATACTTTCCATCAATCGCATAGTACATATCTTCATTTTCATGTGCAATCTAATAAATGCGTTAATTTATGCATACAAAAATGTGAGAAGTTCAAGCGGAATTAGATGAGATAGATTAATCAGATGCAAAAAACAGCGCAGAAAACATAAAAGAAGCGAAGCCGGGTATGGCAGCTAGTGGATAATAAATGCGGATTTATGTCACATATTAACGTGGCTTCCTTAGAAATGCACATTTCACCTTAATGTCTTCATTGGCCTTTATGAATTGATACATAATGCCCAAAATACTTTACCAGGATCTGTTAATCTTCCGAAAACTCTTAGTTCCTGTTCTCTGTCCGAGAAAAGCAACATTTCTCTGAATCAGTATTGTAGTAGATGCTTTCTGAAATTGCAGCTAAGTCATGGACCATTAACCAATTCACCGTATGACAACAGAGAGGTCCCTTTAAATATGTAATGATTTTAGGTTCAGGAAGTTGCATAATAAGCACCCTTCGAAGCCGAATTAGTGAATCAAGCAGTGGTCCAGCATGGAGGCACTGAAGATATCAGGAATTTGCCCTGCACCTGTTGCTTCGCCATTTGGAGAGGTTGGAACTGATATCATGTGTATTTCATATGTATATCATATGTCAGATAATTTATTTTATCTCTAGGTCACATTTTCTGAAACATCGAGCTTTTCATCATCGAGGTTTTCCAGTAGGGACAGCCGCGGCCTTACGCTGTATTATAGGCAGGCACTTAGCAGGCCCTTTCCTTCGCCACCTGCACTCGTGGCGCTTTTCGACCACTTTTGGGAAAATGCACTAACGATAGAGAACATGCCCCTGAACTGCCTCCCATTAGCTCCTCCCGCAAACGGCAGAGTAAGTTTCGTTTTTAGAACCTTTAAGTAGTTTTGAAAGAAGCGTTACAAATTACATACATTCAATCTGGAAAGCTCGACAACTTTGAAGTAGGAGCAACAGCTTTGCTCTACTGCCTCGAGTCATTCGTCGTCACAGGGCAGGCAACAGCTGCTTGTGCCAAAGATGGTTGGCAGCCTTCTAGTTGCTTAGGAAAATGTGACACAATTCTTCAAAACATCTAAAATTACGGTACTATATCTGTTGTTGAGTTGGTTAGGAGTGATCAGCTACACCATTTCTTACACAATAGGTTTCAATGCATGTTGTGAATTGGCTCTAAATAGTTTTTTAAACCAGCGTTGATGACATTTTCAAATAACACCACTTCAATCTCATTTTTCGCAATCCCTTCGAAAAATAATCTTTTGAGTATTATCAAACATGCAGACATAAAATTGCAAGTACACTCTTTCGCTACGAGATTGGAGATATTAGCCATGAAGAGAAAACTAAATTAATTCTACAGTGTTTGTTGCAATATCTGTGATAATATATATAAAATATTGAGAATTTTCTATATGGTCAGCCTCTTTCTGCATATCGTGACTGAATCAAGGAAGTCTCAGAACCTTTCCATTGGTTACCACCGCTCCATTTGTATGATTAATCAAATATGAAGTCGTGATATTAGCGCTTCTTGCAAGTGAAAATAATTATTATTAACTATAAAAGGAGTTGTCTCAATCATTCTTCTCAATTGAAATACTCGGATCTGCTTCTTACGCTCCATGAGAACTCAACTCGAAACACATATCAGAGCGCGGCAAGGTGAGAA